GGAACGAGGGAAATATGAAAGGAGGAGGGAAGTGAAGGAGACAGGATGAGCGGGATATTCCGATGTCAAGGGATACGGATTATAGAAGCAGAGATGGCTCACTTTTAGAGTTGATATCCTCTTTCTATTGTTCCAGGGCATGTCATCCGACAGCCTCCCCCCCCCCCCCCACTTTCGTTTCCTCCTCCCCTCCATCCTGCCGCTGTTTCTTCTTTCCTCGTCTCTCGTCTCGAGCTTGTCAGATTCTCAACAGTCTTCCTCCAGGCTCAGCCTCCTACACCCTCACCATGGCAGACATTGGCTCAAGGTTTCGCCGCGCCATCTCCGACCGCACCAACCCCTTGATCCTTGACGGAGGGCTTGCAACCCAGATGGAGTCGTACGGAGCGGATCTATCCGGCCATCTCTGGTCGGCAAGGTGCTACTGTAGGTGAAGTCGCATCCCATGATGCCAGCGCAGGCTCCTCCGTGACGATCCTGCCCTTATCAAGCGCACGCATGCTGCCTTCTACATGGCTGGATCAGACTTGGCAACCTCCGCCTCCTACCAAGCTACCGTCGCAGGGTTTGTTCGGGCTGGCAACAGCGCGGAGGAGGGGGAGAGGTTGCTGCGGTCGAGCATCCGGCTGCTGAAAGAAGCTCGCGATGAGGCGTGGAGGAAGATACAGGCTGAAGGAGGCGAAGGGGGCGGATGAAGCCGTTCGCAGCAGCGAGTGTGGGATGCTACGGAGCGAGCCTTGCTGATGGATCGGAGTACACGGGGATATACGACATTGGGAAGGAGGAGGTGAAAGCCTTCCACCTGGAGCGATTGAAGCTGCTCGTGAAGGAGGAGCCTGACGTGCTGGCCTTTGAGACTAGTGAGAACAGATGAAGATGAGGAGGAAGAGGTGGAGAGCAAGAGAGAAAGAGAAAGGTCAAGGGAGGGAGGGAGGGAGGGAGGGAGGGAGGGAGGGAGGGAGGGAGGGAGGGAAAGAGGGAGGGAGGGAGGGAAGGAGAGAGGTAGTCCATGGAAGGAAGGGAAGGAGGAAGCGACAGAGTGTACAGGAGGTGACGATGGTGAAAGTGATGCTAACGTGCCGTCAGTCCCGAACCTCATGGAGGTAGAGGCTATCCTTGACGTCCTCAACCACCAAGACGTCAGCTCGTCTGAGATTCCCGCCTGGATATCTGTAAGGCGTGACGCCACTAGCACGCGGACTGACTCTCGACGGAAGGTGTGCTGTAGGAGTGACGAGTGTCTCTCTAGCGGCGAGCCCGTGGACGACTTTGTCCGGCTGGTGGCGGCCAGGAGCCCAGCTGTACGCCTGGCTTGACACCCCCGCAAAGTTTTGACGATGCTGCTAGACAAGGCAGCTGGTGGCAGTCGGAGTGAACTGCCTGCACCCTCGATACGTTGAGAAGATCCTCGAGAGGATGAAGGTGGGAAGCAAGCTTGCTCTGGTGGTATACGCGAACAAGGTGATGAGCTGCGAACAAGGCAGCTTCTGTGAGCTCAGCCTGCAGGGAGAGGAGTGGGATGCTGAGGAGAAGCGCTGGATGCCAGGAACAGCGACTGAGGATGACGGTGAGTGTATCTATCCGACGTGTTCCTCCTCTTCCTCTCACTGCCAACCTCTTCTTCATTTCACTGATACTCGACCTCGATACCCGTCCAGAGTACTGCAGGATGGCAGAAATGTGGAGGTCCATGGGGGCCAACATGATCGGAGGCTGCTGCAGGACTAGTGTAGACACGATCCGTATGCTGCGGCAGAAGCTGGTGAGATGATAAGGACGGGTACTGGGCTATGAGCGATGATAAAGATCTTTTGGAGCCATGGTGCAATTTGCAAGAGAGGAAGGCAGGAAGAAAGGAAGGGAGGCAGAGGGTAGAAAGAGGAGGGAGGGAGGGAGGGAGGGAGGGAGAAGGGAAGCAGAGCCGTCAAGCCTGATGATACAGAATACAAGTAAATCATGAGCTTCGTGCGCGACACAAGCAAAGCGGAAAAATGTAATGAAACTATCGGAAAACTTCAGTCAGGATTTGAAACTCAAAAGGCTTCCACTTCAATCTGCTAGATTGCCCTGCCCAACGATCTTGAGGCAAAGCTTCTGCCCTCCAGGGCTGTCGAAGACGAAACCGTCCTGTCCCCATCCGGACAAGTTCAGAGACGCGCTGGGAGACACGGGCAGGGAAGGATGCGAGACGTCTCGTCTCGGAGTCGAGGCAGGTGCAAGGACGTCGCCGACGCTGCTGTCTCCCTCCCCCCGCCTTCCCTGCTTCTCCCTTGCAAGGGCCTCGATCTTCTCCGCTAGCCTCCTGTTGTGAAACCTCATCTCATCCAGCTGCTGAGCCATGATAGCTCGCTCCCTGTGCGACCTCGAGAGCGCCGCCGATAAGGTCTCCCAGTCATGAATCGCTGCTCCCCTCAGAGCAAGAAACGAGAAGCAGGCCAGGACGAGAGTTGCTGCTGCTATGGCAAGAGCCCCGTCCTCTGCTGCTGACGCAAAAATGGCAGAGATCATGAGCTCTACCACGTTGTTCCTTTCCTTCCCACGTTGGAGGTCGAACTCCCTTTGCCTGGCAACGAGGGAGCTGCACAGCAGGCACAGGAAGACGCCTAGAGCGAAGAAGGCGAACCTCAGGAGGGAGAGGAAGGACGCGGACGTCAGCTGGGGATGGAGTATGAGGGCTGACTGTCTGTACACGTGCAGATGGTCGGCAGTCTCGATCTCTTTCTGCAGCTGGAGGGGGCTCGACGCCCCGTCACGTGACCTCGCGCTCCTCCCGCACTTCCTCTCCGCCATTCGTGGTGAGGCGTCGGGGTAGAGCCGCTCTCCCGATGTCCCATCCTGCCGCTCTCTCGATGTCCCATCCTGCCGTTCCCGTTCAGATGACGACGCGGTCACTATCCCAGTCGAGACCCCTTGAGACTCCCCTCCTTCCTCGCGCTCTTGGGCAGCAGTCCTCTGCCCCGCATGGCTTGCTTTGCTGTCATCCAGGCCGGCATGCGGCGGTGGCAGCGAGGTCCTAGCATCAGCACCTGTAGCGTCAGCTGGTTGCAGACTTTTCGACGCCGGCTTCTCTTCTTCGCTGATCGGTAAAACTTTCTCTTGTCCGTTGCTTCCGTCAAGTTTCCCGCTCGGCTGAGGGCTCTTCGCACCCTTCTGTGCTCGGTAGGCCTCAAGTTTGGGCCAGGAGCGCCACTCAGGGATTCTCTCCTCTAGCTTCTTGATATATTCCCTTGCACACCACTCCCTGTCCTTCCCCTTCATCCTCTCCCATGCCTTCCACTTCGCTCTTGCTTCCACCTGAAGCATGCCGGGCTGCGTCCCCTGAACATCGCCCTGCATGGCTTGCTTGTACCAGCCGTAGAAGCACAACAGCTCGTGAGTGGTGAACGGCTTCTGACCATTGAGCGCCTCTTTCGCTCCTCCCTCCCTTACAAACACTCCTGCTTCCTCCAGGTCCTCCATGCTCCCCGCTGATGCTGATGATGCGTAGAGGATACGTACCCCCTTCACTCCATCACCCTACCATTTCACTATGTACCCCTTCATATAAGTGTCATTCAAAGGTGATTTTACCGGTACTTCAGCAGTCATCCGTCATGGTACCCGTACAGAAACGATCACCTTACTGGCTGAGCACTGGCATCGGTAGTGACCGGGGCCCGGCTTGAGCGACCGGGGGCCAACGGCCCGGCGGGCAGTGGACTTTTAGGAGATCATCGAAAAGAGAACTTTTGAAAGATCACCGACCCAAAAAAAATTTAAAAATCTCGTTCATCTACCGGCCACCTTTTTTAAAGATCGATATAAAGTTTTAATCTGACCCCATTTAAAATACTTGTTATAAATTTGTACCAGCGCTACACGTTCTCGTAAAACCACTGCCTGATACAAAGCAAACCCTGTTTCAACGTCTCCGAAAATATCAGCAAAATTTGAATATTTGATAGAGATAAATGCTCGAATATTTCAATATTCCGCTCCAAACATGAAATCCCTCCTTGTTTTTTTTCAGAAGTGAAAAATATTTGAAGGGACTAGGAGCTGGTCCCCGACTACCCTACCCCTCTTTTTCTTTGACACCCTACCAGTCTCCGGTCAAATGGGTACCCCTACCATGTTGATACCTCTTCAGAGGGTGCCTTTGACCCTGGTTTTCGTACCCCACCCCTTATTACTCAATCAATTCTACCCACCCCCTTCCCTCACGGTCCTTTTTTTTTCAACATCCCTCCACACCTAGGTACCGGTACTTTTCCTGGTCACATATGTTCCAAGGAGGGGTAGTATTGCCTCTCCCCATTTCGTGGGTAGGGGAATCTCACGGAACCCATGACCCCCGAACCACTACCCCCATACAGACCACCCCCACCCCGAATATAGCCCAACAAGGGTACGGCTGACAGGGGTATGTCAGCATCCCGTGATAAACCTTCACCCCCCTTTCACCGGCTATCGGAGGTACAGCCATGGCCGCATCGTACCATGGGGGAGATGGTGGAGGGAGAGGGAGAGGGAGGTGAGGGGGGCGGAGGAGAGCGTCGAGCTCGAGGGAGGACGTCAAAAGTCAGGGAAGTGCTAGGATAATCATAACATGCAACAATTGAGAGCTTTCTGGACGTCGGGGATTCACAGTTGCAGACTGCAAGGAGGGAAGCATTGAGGACGAAGCCCGTTCGTGCGAATTTGCATGCTATTGAAGCGCAATCTTGTGATGCAATGGAGGGTTCCGATGAGTTGCAATGTAGAGATCAAAACTTCTCACTCGAGTAGAAGCTGTGGGAGTACACAAGGAATGTTGATTTTTCGTATTGTGATATAGCAGGGGTCAAGAGACGAACCATGACCCGAAGAGTAGCAGATTTTTTTCTTGAGAAGCATCGGAATTTAGTTAATGTGTTGGCTCTAACACAGGCACCTGTCATCTCGATTACACATACTTCTCTGCACTTCCCCTCCCTCCCGAATCCTTTTTTCCTTATGGACTTGCTCTCGTTCCCTCTTTGTCTCTGACTCATGTCTTCTTCAGGTCTAGTTTGCAAGAGAAGACACAAAAAGACAACAAAAATTTCAATCTTTGATAGCGAGCATTTAAAGTTGGGCAGGGCACTTTCATGTGAAACAGCAGAGAGTTGAGAATGCACAAGTTGTTGTGCGACTGCCCACAAGTCAATCCGTCGCAACGGAAAGACGCTCTCATCGGTTTTAACGAAAGTTTGATCATGGCGATCGAGTCAAGCTTCTCGAGGTGGTCTGAGATCTTGTCTCCTCCCTCGTCCTCGTCCTCGTTCTCGTCCTCGTACTGCTCTTCCTCCTCTTGCCATCTTGTTCTCCACGATCGCTCCTGACATGTTGCCCCTCAAGGTGTGACGACAACCGTTCCATCCACAACTTCCACAAGTCTTGGATCGGCTCAGGATCGAGCTCCTCGGTATACAAGGTCGTCGATCCACATTCAGGGTCCTCCTTCGCGCTCAAGGAGTACAAGTCCTCGCGAGCGTCTCCCCGTCACATGAGCAAGGAGAGGCTGAGAAGCATCTTCGAGCTCAACCATCCCAACGTCGTCCGGCAGTTCCTCTTCTGCAGCAGCTGGAGCCTGATGGAGTACGTCGACGGCCAATCGCTGGCTCAGGTGCTAGAGGAGCAAGGCAGGGGCTTCTCTGAGGGGCGGGCCGCGGCGATCCTCCGGCAGGTGCTGTTGGGACTCAAGTACCTGCATGCCAACCAAGTGGTCCATGGCGACATCAAGCCGGCCAACATCCTCCTGGTCCGGGAGACTGGAAGCGTCAAGATCGCAGACCTGGGCACAGCGACGGAGGAGGCAGCGGGCCGGGCCCTCCTGCCCTTCGGGACTCCCGGGTTCATGGCGCCCGAGGTTGTAAGGGACGGAGTTCCAAACTTCCTCTCCGACATCTGGAGTCTGGGGTGTACCGTCCTCCAGCTGCTCACCGGCAAGCTGCCATGGAGCGAAGACGACAACAAGTTCTCTGCGATGCTCAAGGCGGGCCAGGGGAAGCATCCTCAGTTTCCTAGAGGCCTGAAACCCGACACCCTTTCCTTCCTCGAGAGCTGCTTCCAGCCCAGCTACATGGACCGGCCGTCTGCTGAGACGCTCCTCTGCCATCCGTTTGTGTGCAACCGATGCCTCCACGACGACGGCTGAAAGAAAGTCCGTCCGCGCAGCTTCCCAGTGTGTATTTTAGTTTTGAATGAAGCCGTTGTGCCTGATTCACGTTTCGTCATAGTCTACGCACATCAATCATTTCCCTTACGTCACTTCCAGTAGATCAACAGCAAACATCACAGGAGCTTCGAGAAATCTTTTGCCCGCTGGACAAGCCGTTTCCTGGATACGAAATGAGCCATCGGGTCCCCGGGACGTCAGCGCGGCAATCAAGTTTTCTTACTGAGCCTCAGTTTGCTCACATTTCCTCTCCTTGCAAAAGTCTTCCACCTTGATCAAACAGACGTTGACTAGCACCAACAAAGAAGCTCCGAAATTCACCTTCTCTATCACTTCTAGTAAGTAGTCTTCTGCAGACAACCGGAGTCAGTGACAGCGTTCAAACCGTCGATGTCGTCATCATCAGCATACTCGGAGTCTTGTTCAAATCATTCTTCTTGTTCTTTGGGCTTGCCTTCTTCAGCACCTTTATCACCTGCAGCGCAATGTCAGGCAACAAGCAGCGCACTATCACCTTGCGGACCTCCAACAGACCGCACTTCTTGGAGCTGTGCGCATACCCCTTACACAGCACACAGACAGCTTTCTTCCTGTCCTCATGCTCTTCTGACTCCACTGTGACCGGACAACAGCACGCCATGTCAGAACGCAGCGCTGTCATCGTCAGCAGGGAGCATTTTCCACCTCTCCGCTTCTTGGACTTTTTGTAGAAGGGGTGCGGGTCGCCCTGGCAGACTCTCTCAGCCCTCTCCTCATCCTACAAGCTCCCTCTCCTCATCCTCCCTCACCTCTGGCGCAAGGCTGCTGACGTGCGTCCAAGAGCACGCCATCATCTGTAGCACAGGAATTAATCACCCTCCTTCCGCTGCCCCCTCTCCATCGTACAGCTGCAAAGTGAATAGGAAGGTTTCCGCTCTCGTCGGCAGCGTCTGCTCTTGCTCCAGCTGCCAGCAGTGCCTTCACACACAGCAATCTCCCTCTACGTCACGGCATTTATCAGTTTGCTCCCCACACGCGATTTCCGTAGGCATTCTCTCGTCCTCGTCCTCGTCCTCGTCCTCGTCCTCGTCCTCGTCCTCCTCCACCATCACCTTCCTCCCTCCTCATCAATCACCTTGCAGCAGCAAAGTGCAGTGCTGTCTGCCCAGTGCGGTTGGGGCTGTTGATGTTTGCCTTGGCGTCCAGTAGCTGTCGCAGGACCGTAACGTCTCCTTCCCCTCCCTCCTCGCCTGATTGCTGTGCGATCTTACATCTATTCAGAGCAAAAGTCACTTGACCGCCAGTTATTTGCATTCACGTACAACTTTCCGTTGAAAGCTGCTTCGCGGAGCTGACTATTCCTCAGCCTGTCCCCTCCATCACCTTCGTCGTCGCGTTCATCTTTACGTTCCTTGTCGTGATCGTCATCCTTCTTCTTCCTCTTGAACACTTTGAAAAGCTTCTTCATCCTGCCAAACATCTACAACAACATCATCAGTTGCAACAACAACATCTTGTCAGCCCAACAATCACTCGGCGACTTCTTTCCGCCATAAGGCACGTTATGACAGCCAGGCCGGGCTGAGTGAGGTTCCTGAGGACTTTTGATGGACTTTCGCAGGCTTCGAAACATCGGTGGTGGTGGTTGTGGTGGTGATGATGATGATGATGGTTGGTAGTGGCTCAATACCATATGATCTGAGTCATCAGTTCACCAGTCTCCCCGGGCGTCACAGTGATGAGGAACGGATAGTGATCACACTGACTGATGAGGAGATGACCGAACATGATAATCAGATGACAACATTGATGATGAAGATGACGACAATTACGATCATCGTCGCCATTGTCGTCATCGCCATGCCGTCGCATGTTCATGATTTGTGCTAATTCCGATCAAAGTGTTGAAAACTTTGACTTGTATCTTGCTGTCTTTTTGATTTCCTAATATTGTGATGCATAATATTGGCTGTCCTTTTTTATCAATTATCTATCATTGAGGCGAGCTGTCATTCCATATGTTGATCTAGTTGACTGAAGATTGTGCGGTCTCGAGAAAATGGAGGCAGGGCAGGAGAGAGGAGGAGGAGGAGGAGAGAGCCGCGAGAAGGGGAGGAGGAGGGCGTGAAGAGAAGCGAGATACAGAATCCAAAGGCAATGGGGCCAGCATCTAAGGAAGGAAGCAGCAACATGCTCGGAACTCGCCGTCCTCATGCTCCTGTACCTCCTCCTGCGATCCGTCCATACGTGAAAGTTGTCAGCAAAGGAGTGCCTTCCTCTTAGGACCAGCCTCCGAGACTGGATAAGACGAGTGATAGCTCCCCCCCAGCTCGATACGACCGCGCACATGGCAGCCAGAGGCGTCAAGATCGAGCGGCAGGAATGCCCCGAGTGCGGTTCAGTGAGCAACTCCAAGAACGAGGACGGGAGCATCACTTGCGACGACTGCGGGACTGTGCTGGTTGTAGGAGAGGAGATGAACGAGGATCTGGAGCTCTTCATGACCGATCATGGGACGATGGACATGAGCAGGCTGCAGCTCAAGGCGATCCGCAAGTCCATCCAGCCCGAGGTGAAGGAGGAGGTGAAGGAGGAGGCGCTTGAGTGGCAAGACATTGTCTCCGCCTTCCAGCGCTTCGTCCTCGCCATCACAGAGGCCATGGTCATCTCCTGCGGAGCATCTCCCCACCTCCGCTCCACCGTCGGCTCCATCTTCCGCAAGTACGTGGAGTGCGCGGGGAGGAGGAGAAGAGGGGAGGGGAAGGGCCCCCCGCCCCCCTGGCCCAGCAAGTTTGGAGCATCGGGGATCTTGCTTCCTCCTAGTCTCGCTCTCTCTGTCAACCTGCTCGGCTGCCTGCATGTTCGCGAGCCGATCGCCTGCCATGACATCGTGCGGTGGGCACAAGAGGGGGAGCAGCTACCCTACTTCTCCTACTGGCAGCACCTCCCGGAGAATCTTCGGAGGCTGATGCGACCAAGGTGATGGAAGGAAAGGAAGAGGAACAGGAGCAGGAGCGGGGGCAGGAGCAGGAGCAGGAGCAGGAGCAGGAGCGGGGGCAGGAGCGGGAGCCGGAGCAGGAGGCAGGAGGCAGGAGCAGGAGCAGGAGCAGGAGCAGGAGCAGGAGGCAGGAGCAGGAGCAGGAGCAGGAGTAGGATGCGCCTGACAGGAGGAGAAAAAGGTATAGAGGGGCATCTTGATATTGTTCATGGCTCAGGCAGCATACGTGGCGAATGAGTCAAGGGATGTATGGAGAGGAAGGAAGGGAGCCAGGGAGGTCGAGACGTTGGTCCAGCACTGACTTACCTTTTACAGAGAAGAGCCAAAGCAGACGGTGGTGCACAAACTCGCCGTGCAGGTAGAGCCAGAGGGCTGGAGTGGTAGGAAGGAGAAGAGGGAGGGAGGCAAGGAAGCGGGAAATGATAAAATGACCAAAGGAGAGAGCAGAAGAAAGATGGATGGAGGGAGGGAGGGAGGGAGGGAGGGAGGGAGGGAGT